TTATTATTATTATTATTCCACATTTCCCCCAACAAGGGACCCAAAGCAGCTCACAATATTAAAATTCACACAGTTAAAAAACACAAAAAGTTAAATATTAAAAGGTAAATTAATCAATATATCATTTAAAATTAAATCAAAAGATTAAAACATTAAAACATGGAAAGATTTAAATTATTTGCTGAAATGGGATTCAGTTGTAATTGTTAAAGGCCTGCCTGAAGAGATGGGTGTTTAGCTATTTTTGGAAGGATAATAGGGAAGGGACCGTCCTGATCTCCCGAGGGAGAACGTTCCATAGCCTAGGAGCTGACACAGAGAAGGCCCTCTCCTGTATCCCCATCAGCTGTGCTTGTGCTAGCAATAGGATCAAGAGGAGGACCTCCTCTGCTGATCTTCATCGCTGAGAAGGCACGTGTAGGCAGATACAATCCTTCAGGTAGCCTGGACCCAAGCTGTATAGGGCTTTATAGGTAATGACCAGCACTTTGAATTGGGCCCATAAACAGACTGGTAGCCAGCGAGTTTTACACCAACTGGTTTCCAAATTTTCAAAGGCAGCTCCACACAGAGAGCTTTACAGTAAACCAAATGGGATGTAACTAAGGCATGTGTCACTATTGCCAAATCCAACATCTCAAGAAACGGGTGCAGCTGGTGCACCAGCTTTAGCTGTGCAAATGCACTCCTGGTCACCGCCGAGACCTGGGCATCCAAGCTTAGGGATAAATCCAGGAGTACACCCAAGCTGCGGACCTGGTAGTATCCCTATTCCTTCATCTGCCTTCTGACTAACCAGGGGCACCTTTGTCTTGTCTGGATTAAGTTTCATTTGTTTGCCCTCATCCAGCCCATTACTGCACTGGTTTAGAGTCAAGACAGCTTCCCAGGAATTAGGTGGAAAGGAGAGATAGAGTTGAGTGTCATCCACATACTGGTGACACCGAACCCCAAAACTCCAGACAACCTCTCCCAACCGTTTCATGTAGATGTTAAAAAGCATGGGTGACAAAGCAGAACCCTGAAGAATGCCACAGGCCAATCGCCAGGGTGTTGAGCAGGCATCACCCAGCACCACCTTCTCAGTTCTCCCCTCCAGGAAGGACTGGAGCCACTGTAA